AGGCCGTGGTATACCTCACTGCCTATTTGAAGCATATGGTTATGCATGCATGGCTTATGGTATACTCATTATGCTTGTGGCTGAAACTATGTTCCACTATGTTTTGGTTAGGTAGATTACGTGTTTGTTTGGTAAAGACCTCTATGTTAAAAATATATTCATTTAAAATACAAATAACTTGAGAAATGTGGGGCCAAGTAAATTCCTGGTAATTTTGTTAGTGGTAATGCCTGTTTAGGCAAGTAAGTGAGTAAGTTACAACCAGGGTGAAATGGCAAAACTGAAAAATAAGATTTGCTAGCATACAGTTTACTGGCATGTTATTTGCCATAAATTTCCACTGACAAAGGAGAGCAAGGTAGGTTGGAATTTTTCTTCCTAGAGCTGCTCCAAAGAACTAAAAAAAATGCCCCAAATATAGAACATGGCACGGGATTCAGCCATTCTCTGCAGCCATTAAGCTATTCTGTTCCTAGGAAGTAGTGACTGATTGCTTTGGCTGTCTATAACTCTATGTTCATTATTTCTCCCCCTGTTCAGTTTCACTATACTCTTCCTAGGTCACTGGCAGTATTGTCTTAGTGACAGACTTTATAGCAGGTAAAATTAATTCAACATATAAAGGGCATTGAATTTTCAGTCCCACATACTTGCCTCTGCCAATTCATGCCCATGTTCTTTTCTCAACAAAACTGATCAGCAAACAACAAAACATTTTATTGTACTTTGTCAGTTCATTCATCCAAATCTGTTTTAAAAATCTGATAATTTCCTCCTATTGTGTACTAAAAGGAAAGGTGCTTCTGATTCCTCTTCATTTGAAATTTTAGCCAAATTCACAATATGTACTTGATAAGATCAGCACTTACAATATTTTATTTGAAGCAAATATTATTTTATCAGAAAATAAACAACAATTTTAAATAAATACTGTGAACAGTAACACAGTACTTGGAGAAAAAACATGCAGCTGCCAAACTTTATCATGCATGGCTAGTTCTTATAGCAGCTTTGTCTTAAATAAAAGTTACCTGTAGGTTAAATGTGCACATGTATGTTGGTACTATTTTGAATAAAACAAGTGTTTGGAACTTGCTTTTTCAACTTCTGGAAGGGGTTGTTTGTAGTTTAACTTAGTAATTCAAACTACAATAGCACTGTATAGAACATATCTGTTCAAATGTATTATGTCTACAGTATACAGTGGTACCTCGGGTTAAGTACTTAATTTGTTCCGGAGGTCCATTCTTAACCTGCAACTGTTCTTAACCTGAGGCACCACTTTAGCTAATGGGGCCTCCTGCTGCTGCCACGCCGCCGGAGCATGATGAGCAAAGTTCTTAACCCAAGGTACAATTTCTGGTTTAGCGGAGTCTGTAACCTGAAGCGTATGTAACCTGAAGCATATGTAACCTGAGGTACCACTGTATTTACAATTTTTATGATATTTTACTATCAACCTCAAATAAATATCTAGTGTTCCTTATTTAGAAAAACATACTTGCAGAGCAATACTGCTATCCCCCTCTCCCAAATCCACAGTTCTGGAATGAGTTAGGATGAGGCAGAGGTGTCTCTTTATCAGACCCTCCCAGCAGGGATGCTATGCTGCTGCACAGGCCCTTGCTGCAACCACCAAAAGCACAGTGGGGTGCATATGGGTGGTAATTCCTCTGGCACTAGCCTTTGGAAGACACAAAAATGAGATGCTAGGGGATGCTAGGTAGGGTCACTGGTGGACTGCATAGATCCAAAGATGGAGCAAAAAGTGAAGGATAGCCATCCACTAGGGATGTCATTTTGGGGGTGAACATTTTTGCAAAATTCTTTAGTGAGATGACCTAAAAATATGATTTTGAGTGTAAGGAATTCAAATCTGTTATTATTTCTGTGACTGGACAACATTTAGCTTGGTAAATCTATGTTTGGTTAAAAAGCACATAAATTGCTCTTGGAAAATCAAAGAATTTTAATTTTACCATCTGAAATGTCAGGTAATGCAAAAAAAAAAAAAGTCAGGTAATGCTATAAAAATAGAATTTTGGCATAAAACATATCCTACCTAGCATACAGCATTACCTTGTAATAAAAAAGAACATTAGAAAGTAATGTTAATAAGAAATTTAAGCAACACGTTTCATCAAGTCTTGCATTGATTCGTTCTTGGACATCAGCTGCCATCTTGCTTCTTGGCCTCTGATGTAGCCCTCGTGTTTCTTCTGTGTATGCACCCTGCCTGCTGCCTCTGTGACTTGTTTCAAACACCTCTCTATAGACTGACCATAGCAGGGCCACTGTGGAACTTGCATGGGCTTATCAATAAACTTATTTACCAAGCAAAACTAAATTATGTTAAATTATCCAAAATACCCCCAAGTTATGTCTCAACTTATTAAGTCCCCTTATTTTTGGAATTTGAAAGTTGAAAATTCAACATCCCCTAATCAACCACCTTCTGCTTTTGCCATTAGGGCTTCAGATGCAGTGGTGGATCTGCCACACTGTTCTACCTTGCTGTCCAGGGCTTTGAACTGCTCCAGATACCCAATGAGGTTTACTTCTAAGTAGACATGAAGGATGTTGCATCAGTTCTCAGAAGTGTACCATGATTATCTAATGGGCAATACAAAAGAAACTGTGCATGAAATGAACGTCTCTAAATATGTTGGGATGTGGGTGGCACTGTGGTCTAAACCACTGAGCCTAGGGCTTGCTGATCAGAAGGTTGGTGGTTTGAATCCCTGTGATGGGGTGAACTCCCGTTGTTCGGTCGCATTTCCTGCCAACCTAGTAGTTCGAAAGCATGTCAAAGTGCAAGTAGATAAATAGGTACCGCTCCGGCAGGAAGATAAACAGCGTTTGCATGCACTGCTCTGGTTCGCCAGAAGCAGCTTAGTCATGCTGGCCACATGACCCGGAAAAACTGTCTGTGGACAAACGTCGGCTCCCTCGGCCAGTAAAGCGAGATGAGTGCCGCAACCCCAGAGTCATTCGCGACTGGACCTAATGGTCAGGGGTCCCTTTACCTTTACCTAGACATGAATAAACTTGTGTTGTCAAATGAGTATTTTATCACCATACGACATACTTAAAATATAAATGTGAATTGTAATAAATATGAGTTATTACAAGTCTTTCAATCCTTTATATAAGCTACTGTGCCTAATTTTTAAACATATTTTTAAAATGATAACATTTCCTTATCTAATTGTGAAATATTTGTGTAGTGATTATTTTTTTTTGCACTTGTGTATGCAAATAAATGTGAAGTTCTATTCTTATTTCTACATTCTATTAGGGTAATTATGTATATGAATTGTGTGATGGTACAGTACAAAATAGTTCTTATTACATAGAGAATGTTTAAATATACGAAGCCAAAATTCCACTGTGCAAGAGATGGAACTTGTATATTTAAAAGTGTTTGGAGCTACTCTTTTGGGCACAGCCCATCCAAAGTAGCCTACCATTTGGAAAAAAAAACAATAATACAATTTTCAAAAACTTAAATCTATCACTCAGCAATGCTCCACTTTTTTTAATGGAGCCAGGAATAAACTAATTCAGCCAGCACGTTGAATCTGGAAGGAAAATGTGGGGAGGGATCTTCGGAGCTGTTGGAAAAGGCTCCAATTAAGAAATTTTATGCAATAGAAGGGAATTCCATAGCAGTGGATCCACTATATAGAAGGACCTCTACTTCATAACCACCTATCTTACCGATCCAGGCAATGGGTTTCTAGACCATCTGAAGTTCTTAAAGAGTTTTTTAAAAGCACCTCCTTGTCTTTAAAGGCAGCCCCCTGTAGAGTGCATTATAGTAGTCCAATACAAATGTGACTCAAGCATTGATCACTATGGCAAGGTTAATCCTTTCTAGATGGTGGCACAGTTGGCACACTAGCTGAAACTGGTAAAAGGCACTCCTTGTCTCCAGTGCCACCTGGGCTTCCCCAGGCAGTGCTGAATCCAGGAGCATTCTCAGCCTGTGTACTTGGGAAGGGCTGCCCAAAACCAACACCAACTGTAAACCACCTTCCAGAGCTGGGGATCTCCCCATCCACAGTACCATATTACTTGATTCAACCTCAGTTTATTTGATTTCATCCATGTCAGTGCTGCTTCCAGTCAGCACTTTAGAATTTCCACAGTCTCCCTGAGTTCTGAGGATGGAAAGAAAAGGTAGAGTTGTGTGTCCTCAGCATCCTGATGATACGCAGCCCAAATTTTAATTTGACTTCTCCCAGCAGTTTCATGTAATGTTAAAATGTTAAAAAATGGGGAGGGGGGCAAATTAGTCCCCTGTGGAACTCCACTAGCCATTGCCCATGGGGCAGAGCAAAAATCCTTCAACACTACCTTCTGAGTGGGACCTTCCAAGAAGATCTAGAGTCACGTTTCAGACCCTTAAGCAGCTAAAGTTTTTGTAGTTTTAGGTAAATGCCATCAAAAACAGTGTTACCCAGGTTTCCATCAATTAGTAGGTCCTTAAGTCATATGTACAAATAATAAACTTTGTGTATAAAACTGAGTAGACCATTAGTTCCTATAGTTAAGACTAAAAGTATTTTGATTGTTCAAATATGTGCAAAATCCTATCCTCATTTTAGCATTAAAACTGTGTTATTTGGCTGTGTTTCTGTGCATTTTCATTTGTTGGCAGCTTTGGGAACTATTTAAAGAAAATGAGTTGGGCAAGAAAATGTTTGTGTCTGAATTAGCTTCAGTAAGCAATGAACATAATCTGCAGAGCGGCATTCAGATGAGACCACATATTTGCCGAGGTTTATGTTCCTCCTGGAGGGATGAGGCAGGCTTCCTGAACTGTAGTAGAGGGGGGGAAACCAAGCCACCAGAACTTTATGATTCAGACTATTGGCAAAATTGATTATGGAAATAGTATCTTGATCTATTTCAGTGTGCTCAAATCAGATACTTAGAAAGATTATGCCAAGCATCATACAGTCGTTGACAAGACTTTCCCCTTCCTCTTGTAACAGAACAATGAAAACGAAACAGCTTTACACTGTGCAGCCCAATATGGACACTCAGAAGTGGTAGCAGTTTTGCTTGAAGAACTTACAGATCCTACAATAAGAAACAGCAAGTTAGAGACTCCATTGGATTTGGCAGCCTTATATGGCCGTCTGCGAGTAGTGAAGATGATCATCAATGCATATCCAAACTTGATGAGCTGTAACACAAGAAAACACACGCCGTTGCACCTTGCTGCACGTAATGGTCACAAAGCGGTTGTACAGGTGCTGCTAGAAGCTGGAATGGATGTCAGCTGCCACGTTAGTATACAATTTCTAAAATTATTATTTAAACAAAATTTTGTTTTGTTCTATTTAGATAAAGAGATGACATTGTTTTTCATTATGTTTCATTGTTACAAATACAAAGTACAACCTACACTTTGCAACTGGAGTGGCTCTATACTTGACTGCCAGAAGCATATTATACCAGTGTTCAGTGTCTCCTTGGCATATTTCAAATAGCTGTTTCTGACATATATATCAGATGCTTCTTCCTTCTCTTCATATTTTCTATGGTTTCAAAGCTCATTTGAAAACAGTTTCTGTGCATCCAGCAATAGGTAAGAGCTAATAAACGTGTTCTGAGGAGGTATTTCCCAGCTTTATGAATTCCTTCAAAGTTTTGCTCTGTTACTGATCCTCAATAACTTTTGGAGGCAACATGAAGTTAATTTTTTTGGGGGGGGGATTTATTTAGTGGCCATGAATAAATTGAGTTGTTTTCATTTATGGATTCGAAACAGGGGAAATTTTTGCTTCAGTTGATCATGTTCAATACCACATCTTCTAATATCTGTGTAAAATTATTTTATGACAAGTAATAAATGACAAATATATTTCTAAAGTGTTTCATTGTGGAATTTTGTTTACTTTTCTGGCAAATTAAAATAGGGAAAATGCTTCAGTGATGTTGCTTTGCAAAAGAAGCGGAATATTGAAAATTATCTGAATAATAGGTACTGTACATAGAATGCTGCCTTATACTGAGTCAGGACATTGGTTCATCTAGCTCAGTATTGTCTGTTCCGCCTGGCAGTGGCACTCTAGGCTTTAAGGTTTTCCCCCAACTCACCTGGAGACCAGGGACTGAACCTGCAACATCTTGCATGCAAGGCAAATGCTCTACAAATTATCTACTATTTCCCTCCACAAGCTCTGGTTTGTTCATAGAAAGAACCATATCTCTCTCTATAAAGTTCAAGAACTACAACCAGGAATGAATTCCATATTTCTACTCTGCCTGTAGAGCATATTGGGCATGCTTTACCTTATTGGGCGTGCTTGAGTGTCTCAAGCAGCAATATTAATAGTGTGGTACTAACATTTATTTAGAAGCTACAGTGTTCCAGACAGACAAAACACGTCAAGTGTGAAAGGAAAAGGTCACATTTGACAAATTTGTAGGAGGGCCTTTTTTTAATTTTAATATAACTCTGAAAGTGGATGAGTGAAGCAATAGCCGTAATATGACATTTACTGCTGTTGATGAATTGGTTTTCTATAAACATGTTGACATAAAGAATAAAAGCATTTTTTTATTAAAGACAAAGAAGTAAAAAGTAATATAATCATTTATCTACTAATAGTTATTGCACAGATGTTAATTTTTTTTAAGCCAAGTTACAATAATCACTCTTTTTATAATGCTTTATTTGTCAGATACTCTTGATTATTAGTATTGCTTTAGCCATCAGTTTTCCCAGTTTTGTTTTCCCAGTTTTATGCTTTTCTTTTATTTTCTGTTTCAGGACAAGTTTTATTGCTACCATGTTCCCACAACCCTTTATGGTGAAACATTTAACTTTATTTTCCAAGCAATATTCTGTTCTTCTATTTACTTCATCACCTAGGCATTTCAGCCAGAACCACCATATATAGAGAACCCAGTCACCTGCCTTCAAGGTCATTTGCCGCTTCATTTTTGAAGCTCTCACAACCCAGGCTGAGCTCTATTTGTGGCCCTTCCTCTCTGGTAGGTCAAATATCAAACCTTCATTGTGGGCAGTAGTTAGTAATTTGTGCAGGGTTATTTCTTTCATAGAAGAGCCAGCCGATGAAAAATTGAACCCAACTTGAGTTTCCAGGTGAGAACTCTCTCTGAATGATAGGTAAGCACAGAGTTGTACTGCTGCATACACCCCAAACAAAGCCAGGATTGAAAACCTCACCCTTGATAGTAATAACATTTTCAGTTACCAAAACAGCTGAAGTTGTCAAGTAGCCCAAGTCTACACTATGGTTTCTAGTATTTTCTCTCAGGCTCTGTACATTACCAGAGTGGTAATTTATTCCATCTAAGCTACTGCTCAGTCATTCTACCAGAATATGGCATACCTTCATTATTCAATAGAAAATGTTTTCCTTGTTGCAGAATAAGCTTCATGAAATACATCCCCTGTTCACAAATGAACACAGGATGTTGTTCAACATACAGTTGTTGATGTTAATTTTTAATATCTTTATTTTGAATCTTATAATTTATGTGGAAATTGTTAAATTTGGTTGTGTACTTTTTGATGTTTTGTTTATTGTTTATGACTACTTTTGTTATGTTGGTAGTTATGTATTTTTATATGTTGTAAGCCACCTTTCCCATGGTTTTAACTTTGGGAAGGCAGCATACAAATAAAATGATTGATTGATTGATAGTTTGAAAGTCCAAATGAATCTACTTTTAGTGACATGGCCATCCTAATAATGCCAAGAATTGTGACTTTAAAAATTCATTTATTACCTGATTGAGCTGCACAGACTGAGGCAGTTCTGAACTTCCCTAAGAGTACACTAAGCTCCATTTATACATACTTCATTTCACCCAAGGGTGGGCCTGTTTGCTCTCATCTGACCAATGCATGGGGTGGATTGATAATATTTATTTCATAATCCAAAACTTCATTCTACACCTGAATCCCTCCCTAATATTTTTGAAATGGTCACCTTTTATTTAAGATGCATTTGATTAGCATTTTTAAGCTTACACCGAAAGTAAGTCATCCAAATCTGAAGTTTTACTGTAAGAAACTCTTTTCCTTTCACAAAAAATGACATGTTTCTACTTACTCATTTCCCTTGATCATAAATAGAAGTAAGTCCTGAATTTGCTTGATGTCCAGGATGCACTGTATTTTTATTTGCATAGAATTAAGCAATTCTGTCAATCGTAAAGGAAATACCATAATGGAAACAGGCTTATGTATGTAGTATGTATGTAGTATGTATTTATTATTAATTTTCCATACCGCCTTTCATCCGAGGATAACAGGGCAGTTTACAATACAAAAACTCAAAAATACATAACATAGTAAATTATAACACACACACACACACACACAGTTTAAAAAACCATAGATCATTTAATTAGCCAAACTGGGACAAGAGGAATGTTTCTACCTGGCATCTAGAGATATGTAATGAAGACACCAGGTGAGCTAACCTGAGAAGAGCATTCCACAAGTGGGGAGCCACTGCAGAAAAGGCCTGTTCTCATGTTGCCACCCTCTGGACCTCTCACGGAGGAGGCACGTGACTAAGGGCCTCGGATGATGATTGCAGTATCTGGGTTAGTTCATATGGGGAGATGTGGTCCTTGAGGTATTGCAGTATGGAGCTGTTTAAGGCTTTATAGATCAAAACCAGCACTTTGAATTGGGCCCGGAAACGAATTGGCAACCAGTGCAGTCAAGCTAGGATGGACATTATATGCTCAAACCATCTTGCCCCAGTGAGCAACCTGGCTGCTTAATTCTGCACCAGCTGTAGTTTCCAAACTGTTTTCAGAGGCATCCCCTCATATAACACATATCAGTAATCTAATCCAGAGGTCCCCAGAGCACAGATGATAGACGTTAAGCAATCTCTGTCCAGATAAGGGTGCAGTTGAACCACCAGCCAAAGCTCCATGCTACTAAGTCCACCTGAGCCTCAAGAGACAGCAGTGGACCTAGAAGTACCCCCCAAACTGTTTATCCACACCTTCAGAGGGAGTGTAACCCCCTCAGGAACAGCCAACCTCCCATCCATCTGGCCTAGGGAACCACTCACTAACAGTGCCTCAGTGTTACGTGGATTGAGCTTCCGTTTAATGGTTCTCATTCAGTCCATTACTGAGGTAAGACCATAGCCTTAGCAAAGATACTAGATGTTTGAATTACAATCTTATCTGTCTGTCTATCTGATCAACATATGTCCAAGAAGCTTACAATAAATCTAATAATAAACCACAGAATTCACTTTATGTATACAATTAAATATACAGGATCATGAACAATATGAAATAGCCTAAAAAAATAAATAATCAGAAACCACGCTTTAGCAGCTGATAAAAAATATTTTATTCAGGCCAGACTCCCAAATGCCTGCTGAAGTAAATCAAACTCGTCTAATGAATTTTCTGGGAAGAAATTTCTATTACTGAAGTGCCACCACTCCACCACTAAAAAGCTCTTGCTCTATGTTCCAGTCAGAGTATGGACACATTGAACAAGAGGCCTCTGAGAACTGTAGTCCAAGTTGCTGTCGTACATGACTGAATTTGTAGCAAATGTGGATACTGCTATTTTGTGACAGATTGTTGCCTGTCTAGCAAAAGAATGGGGGAAAATGGAAGACACCATTTTCTGGTTAACACAAGCCTGGAGGAGTGGAACAGAATGACAGAGGCAGATTTAGGGGAGTGCCCCTGGTTTACTCACACTGGGCACCGAGCCAAGAGGGTGCCACAGGGGGTGCTGCAACAATGACAAACAATGGAAGGGGAGAGGCAGGGGTGCACCAAATTTTGGTGTTGCACAGGGTGCCACTGAAATTTTAAAGCCCAAACTCCGCCGCTGTGAGGGGGCCACTAGGGGCGCATCAGAAGATGGCTGACAATAACATCTCTCCGACCCACACGAGGTAATTTGGAGGCTGTGATGGGAGTAAATAGCCTCCCTACCCCCCCAGGATTGTGGGGGAGGGGCTGCCCTTGCTTGCTGTGCCCTATACCACCCCCGAATTTGTGGGGATGGGGGCACTAGGCAGAATGCCGTTCTGTGGATATCGGCGCTCCTGGACGCTGCCTCTGATCCCTGCCTCTAGCTGCAAGAACTTCAAAAGAAACGATTAGAACGAAGCGAATGCACATATTTCAAGGAAGGAGGGGGAGTAAAGACTGCTAACAGAAGAGATCTCTGATAAACAAGACAAGTCGGAAGAACAAGAATTAACCAGATGAAGATACACCAAGACTCGGTATGGCAAAAGGACTGGATGGGGGAGGGGAAAAAACCTTTCCTTTCTTTCCTCTATATGATTAAACAAGAATCACCCCCCCTCACAAGTCAGAAATGTCGTTTGAAGGACTTAAGCTGTGGATTTATGTTTGTGTGGAGATAAACTTTCTAACCAAAGCATGCTTTAAGAAGAGCGTGGAATGTATAAGGGCTTTGGAATGACGCAGTTAAAAATACCGTCGCCATATTGGGAAGTTCTGTCGGAGGACTTAAGTCTGGGAGGAGAAATAGAGCAGTGTTTCCCAACCTTGTGCCTCCAGCTGTTTTTGGACTACAATTCCCATCATCCCTTGCCACTGGTCTTGCTAGTCAGGGATGATGGGAGTTGTAGTTCAAAAACAGCTGGAGGCACAAGGTTGGGAAACACTGAAATAGAGAAATAGAGCTGTTTTTATATTGTGGGTAAACTCCTCAGAGGGACTTAAGAACGACAGTTCTGTGATTAATGATGGAAAGAGCGATGTTATCTATGAATGCGATGATATATGGAAACCATCTTGATTTGAGGATTGGATGAACGGAAAAATTCACACAGGATTATTATTGGTGTTTATCGGCTTAAGGAGATTATCAGAAGAGATCATAAAGAAAAAAGAGAAAATATACGAACAAGATGAGATGTGGAAACAGCAAGATAAGACTGGATAGAATTATGAACTTTGTTTGGACTGATTTGGACATTAACGCAGTAGCAAGAAGATGATCAGAATCCCCCTTCGGATCTTGAAATATGGGTCCCCTCAACAAAATTTAAAATTTGGGTTTGTAATTTGGAATTTATGTGATGTGATGTGATGTGATTTGATTGGTCGGTTAATAAAAATTATTTAAACAAAAACAAAAACAAAGTCCGCCGCTGCAGAACAAGGAGATCCATGGAATGGAGCAAAAGGTGAGTCTCTTATCACACAACAAATAGATTTAAAATGAGATATATGACCATGATTCCCTGTGGGATGGCTCCATGGGTTATGGCTGGGGTGATGGTTTTGGGGATAAATAGCTTGGCAGGCAGAGCATTTGAAAGCTGCTCTGATATGTTTTGTTGGCTGCTGTTTTTCTAAGTTGTGTGTGTGTGTTTGTTTGACAGAACAAAGCGGTCAGAGTCATGAAGTGTGCTGGATCAGCAGCCCAAAAGCATGAAGAATTTATAGGTGATTGGCTCTGTACCACATACAGTTCAGGCATACTATGTTTAAAGTGGGCAATATGGGATACCCCCCCTATATACAATTATAGAGCTACATTAAGAGCTTTGCACCAGACTCATGATCAGATGTGTTGGGGTTTTTAATTTTTTAAGCAGAACATGACCTGTGAATGGAATGGAACAAGCAACCCAGGCATGTCCCAACCCTTACAGCTCAGGAGTATCCCAACCCTAATAGGAAGATATTACAGACACCATTTCCGGAAGGAATAATACATCCACATACATGTGTTGAATGTATTTTGTGGTCACTGACTCTTAAATGGGTGTATGAATTCCACACTTCCCATTCATTGTGTTCTAAATGCTGTACTTTTCAAGATTGTAAGTGGACAGTGTCAGATTCATATGGAACTAAGGGGGACACATATGAAGATTTCTTTTAAGTCTGTTCATATATCAGCATTGATTTGGGGAAAACAGTGAAATAATGTTGTTTCTTTGTTTTGGTGAATTGCAGAACATATGAAAGAAGTGATAGAAGTCATCAAGTGACAGATTGAAATGGACTTTCCTCCCACAATGCACAACTATGATACTTGGGAGAGCATTGACAATGAGAAGATGTCTACTACCAAGCTCTGTATTAGCTTGGTTCTGCATTAGCTTTAGTTCATGAACTAAACAACTGCCTGGATTTAATTTCTAATTCCTAAATGGAATTACTTCAGCCATGGAAACCATGGTACTACAGTACCAGAGAAGCATTCCTGACAGGAGTCCTGGTTTTGTTTGCAGTTGTATTTGTTATCGTTTTGCTTCCCTTAGCTAACATTTCTGATGTTAAAAAGCATGGGTATTATCCAATGTTAATCATACTGAAAGTCAACCCACGGAAAGCAAAGGACCTAAGTCCATTATTTAATGTCTACTCTAAGTATGACTTAATTGCCTATTACCCCATTCTTCTCACTTTTTATTTCAATTTTTTGTAAAAGTATTGTTATTGTTTAAATTATAGCTAAGTGTGTTTGTATTAATATTTATTTAATAAAATGTATATAATTACATTTTGCTACATTATTCTATATTATTTATTATATGTAAATATTACAATATTTTCTGTGACACTATTCATATTTTAGAAAGCATTAATAAAAGTGCGTTTTTCTATCAAGTAAATTAAAAGCAACAATAACGTTCTGTTTCGGTTTCTCTTTGTGGAATGCTTTCACAAAGTGTGCATCTTAAAATCACATGTTACCATCGACATCATGGGTTGTTGTTTTTTTTAATTCACACTACTTCCCTTTTTAAATCTCTCCTCCCCTAGTTACCAACTTCCCCCCTTCAAATAATGCCAACAAACATTTACTACCAAACATTTATCGTACGTGGTAATAGCAAGCTAATTCTGTAAATACCTATTTTGTCAAACAACCCACAAACGAGGAAGGTATCAGCAAAATCCTAAATTTTTCAGAATTGCTTTCACCAGTGGACACTGGAGGAGACCTAGCATATATATTGGGATAAGGGATACTACTTAACACATTTGCAGAACAGTTAAAAACATGAGAATTCATTCCACTAGTACAACATCATGTTCCTTGGTGGGAGCTACTAGCACATAAGTGGGCATAACAGCACTATTTGCATCTGGTTTGTGGAAGCAAATGAAAGAAGCCACAAATACACAAATATGCTAATAAAGAAAGTACCGAAAATGGTTGCTTGGCTAGGTGGTCCATCTACTAGTTAATGAGGTGCTTGCATGCACACTAATCTTCATTTTGAATTTGACTGACTCCAAATGCAGAACAATTAACTTGAAGTGAAACAGTCTTTAAGTTACAGGTTTTTAAAAATATAAGCATGCAAAAAGTGATTAATTTATTTTAACCTGCCAAGATTGACCTTGTCCTTGAACCGCTTGGGATGGGTTTTTTTTAATCATGTATACTTTTTGTATTTAGGATTTTCAACTGGGAATGGTGTACAAATGTATGGTCATGAAAAACAGTCTTATTTTATAAATCATGAGTTTCACAGCAATAATTAAGAGTTTCAACAAACAGCTTCTTGCATGTGCCTAAAAAGCATCTCCCTTGGATGCTTAAACTACTAACATGACCATGTAGAACCTTGTTTACTATACTAAGCCAGAGGACCTTTATGGAGAAATGGTGATCAAATTCAGATATCAGTTATCGTTACCATCTGGCCCAATTGGTATTTTGAATTATGTAATTATGAATGTTAGCATCATGTTTGTGTTCTGAGGACTGAGTCTCACTGAATTTATTGGAATGTACTCTTTGGTTAAGAAAAATGCATATGATTTTGTTATATTCACACACAATCAGTGTCCCACTCTATAGTTTATAGTGATAATAAGTTAACAAGTTATGAGATAATTTCTAGGAAGTTAAACTATTTAATTATTGTATTTAATTTCTTTCCAGACAGAAAAAGGCAGTGCACTGCATGAAGCAGCTTTGTTTGGAAAAGTGGATGTGGTACGCATTCTGCTAGAAACAGGTAAATCATAATTATTCTCCAAAGGAGTTGTAAATAATCTCACACTTTCCTAATTTCAAACCATGTTATTTAGTCTTATCTGGTTGCTATTTCTTGCTGAATACCAGTAGGGTTCTTGTGGAACAAACTGGGTTTCCAATTGCCATGTGGCCAGACAGACAATGAGTGGTCCTTGTAGTTGAACTAAGACATGTTCAGTGTCCTTGGAGTATGTCTACTGATGTTAAGGCAAATGAATAGCTACCTCTCCTCTCAGAGTAACTCATAATTGAAGCTGTACTGCCAGGCATTCAATAGCAAGGCTATTTTGTTTTGTGGTGAAAAAATGAAAAAAGAACAGTTTTCAAATTTCTGTAGCCATTTGACTTTTATGTAGTCCATAAACATATATATGAGATTTAGGATACTAATTAGTACATTTTTAACAGCTTGTATTGATATTCAACATGCCATCAATTAGCCTTACAGTAAATTACTGGTCTTGATGTTTGGCATTTATACTGAAAAATATTTTATCTAATAAGTTTAATCTTTAATTGTAAAAACACAATTTCTATTTTAGGAATTGATGCCAACATAAAAGACAGTTTAGGTAGAACTGTTTTAGATATTCTCAAAGAACACCCATCTCAACAATCACTCCAAATTGCTGCATTACTTCAAGGTAAGTTCTGTATATATAAGGTGTATAAGATATGATTAAATATATGCATTATGTAGGAATGTATAAATATAAAATTTGTGTGTACAAAATGTATGAGAATTTTTGCAAAGCCGTTTGGTTATATGTATTATAGTATATTCTAATATTGCATGTCTAATCATGCCTTTACCAAAATGTTCACTTACTGTAATATAAAAATAGGATATCTTTATAGGCTTGGATTCCAAAATTTGTACTTCCTATTTTAAGAGGCAATTCAAAGGCACTCAATTTTTATCATTTTCAGATGCAATGCAGCACTCTTTGCACTCTTGTTTTCAGTGGGAGTGCTGATTGCTCATAGATACCAGTTGCGTGTTGAGATCCCGAAACCACCCCCTCGTTGATGAATGAGACACAAGGACACAGATATTTGTTGTTGTTGTTGTTTAGTCGTGTCCGACTCTTCGTGACCCCATGGACCAGAGCACGCCAGGCACGCCTATCTTCCACTGCTTCCCACAGTTTAGTCAGAGACACAGATATTAGGTTAATGTTACTGGGCAAATTTTGGCCACAACTTTATTGGTTACAGAATGTGAGCAGTATTGGCTTAGGCATTGGAATTGACCTGGCTATATCCGACTCCTGCCTGTCACACAGGTAGTCCGGTAAGGGTCAACCACTGATAGGAGGAGCCCCGTTGATGCAAACCAACTCAAGCTCCCCCAGGTTTCCCTACGGGGTCGTGGCATGCCCCTAGCCCAGCCCTGGATTTCGGACAAGATCCACACCCCCGGATTCCTTTAACGGAATACGCTTAAGCTTGGAGGGGCAGGTGATGGTCACACCTCCCCACCCCCATCATAAGATCAACCAATGCCTAACTGCCAAACCTTACAAAGTTGTGACAATTGCTACGAGGTAGGCGAAAACCCAATGGCCCATGCCAATCTGCCAAGTGGAAAAATTCCTACCAGGCCCCTCAGTGGCGACCAACCGCGGTCCATAGCAAGGCCAAAGTAGAAACCTGCAAATTAGGGAGGGCAGGAGATTGAGGAAGCTCTCCGGCTCTTGCCTCTGTTTAAATGGGGCCTGGCCACGCCTCCCCAGCCAGCAGTCTGTGGGAGTGCTGATTGCCTGTAGATGATACCAGTTGATAAGCTGGTGTTGCGCCGTATAATCAACTTTACATTTAAGAGATAATTTAACTGGATATATGTGTTACTGGGTATGATGAAATGTTTCTGTGTGACCATGCTCTTAAAAAGCAATACATATAAAATAAATGATGTAGATGATATTGTTGAAATGTGGCATCCTTTTATAAAATACTTCGCAGGTAACCCTGAAGAATGGATTTTGTTTTGTATCTTTTTCCTTTTTAAAAAATTTTATATATTGAAAATTAATGAATATAGATATAATGAAGTATCTTACTGATATAATATTGGATGAAATAACGTAACCACTTGGTAATCTGCAGTTTTAACAAAGTGAACCCAAATGCAGATGAGCATGGAACTTTCAAACTATGGAAGGACTTGGATGAGTAAAATTACATTGACATTTCTGCTCAGACTAAGAATGAGGCTCAATATATTCTAAGTCTCTGGACTACGCAGCTGTAATCAGAACAGAAAATTGATGCTTTTGAATTTGCTTTGAAAGGGAAAAATAATTATTTATACAACTTTTGATTTAGACTTTCAAATATTGAGCTGTTTTGCTCCACTGTTATGCTCCAATTAATTTGCTTTTCTTCTTTTTCCTTCGTATGTCATGATAGCAACTCATTCTTACCATCATTTATTTTAAAGCCTGCCACTCTGTCATATTCTTGCAATATTTATAGAACTCCTAAGCTGATGTATTTACATATATTGTATAAATGATTATATCATCTGCAACTATCCGTATAAGTTCCTTCTTCTGAATTACTATTCCTTTAATTCCATTTGGCTGTCAAATCGCTAGAAGGGTTTGAGTGATATTACAAATAGGCTGGCAGAGGACTCCCATGTCTTGTCCCTCTACTAAGTTGAAAATTCTTGGAATCTTTACTGTTAATGATCAGTGATGTGTTTTAACTCAGAATAAATTATATAAATCCATCTACCAAAATGCTTAGCTGGATGGGGGGCAGGGATTTATTATGCTGCTAAATTATTGACAACACTTAATTTTCAGAAAATGCATTATAAAAGTTTCATTTTTTTACTAGATTTTTTACTGGTATTTTTATAGATGCTAAAACTGGCATGGGCTCATAATATTGGGCTCATTTTCTATCTTTTTATTTACATAGAGCTGCCACATATACAAAGCATCCACCCAATGCCAAATTAGAGTTGAAGAACAGCTAAGTTAATATGTGAGAGATTTTCTAAAGCTGTCTCATTAGTCCCTTGAAATTCAATAGCTCATTCCAGCTGAGCCTGCTTGTATGCCATCCATGGCTGCATTCCCTCACATTTCCTGTCTTCAAAGAAGGCAGCTGTGCTTCACTAATCGCAATGCCTGTGTTAAGTCTGCCCTTCATTTCTTGCATATTCTCTGATTGCCTTGTTTTACAGCTGAGTTTCTAACCATATCAATGAACGTGTAATCTGGCAGATATACCACTCCTTCCAGAGCCTAATCTTTTAAATGAAGAGAAACTTATTAATTTGTGAAGAAAGAAGTGATTAAATGATCCTAGATAGTTTTAATGGAAGCTCTATCCTACTCTATGTACCTTGCTTCACACTGCTTGCGCTTAAATGCTATAACAAAGTCACGTATGTAGCACAGATAGTCACTTAGCTTTTTCTGTGTCTTGTGTGATACAAATTGTTAGGCCTTTGCCTAAGGATAAACATGAAAAAAAATATACAATGTGACAAAAATGGGGCAAACTGGAACAGATACAGCCACCCACACCACAGCTGTGTTTTCGCTGCCTAGGGCATTGCTGCCCATAACTTCCCCATAGGAAAACAAAGCCTCTTATTACCTTTTGGGAAAGGCCCTTTTTCTCTTTGGTGTGCCACCATTATTAGAAGGTCTGAGACAGAAAACAGGAGACAGAAGGAATGCTTTTTTGTTTCCTGTGTCTCTCTTAAGATTTTCTAGTAACCGCATCATACTTCATTGGGAGTATGTTTCACTGATCTCAGTGGAATTTATACCTGAGTAAACATGCATGGAATTTATACCTGAGTAAACAGGGGACGCGGGTGGCGCTGTGGGTAAAACCTCAGCGCCTAGGACTTGCCGATCGCATGGTCGGCGGTTCGAATCCCCGCGGCGGGGTGCACTCCCATTGTTCGGTCCCAGCGCCTGCCAACCTAGCAGTTCGAAAGCACCCCCGGGTGCAAGTAGATAAATAGGGACCACTTACCAGCGGGAAGGTAAACAGCGTTTCGTGTGCTGCGCTGGCTCGCCAGATGCAGCTTGTCACGCTGGCCACGTGACCCGAAAGTGTCTGCGGACAGCGCTGGCTCCCGGCCTATAGAGTGACATGAGTGCACAACCCTAGAGTCTGGCAAGACTGGCCCGTACGGGCAGGGGTACCTTTACCTTTACCTTTAAACATGCATAGGATTAGGTTGCATGTCTTAAGACATCCCATTTTAATATCCTATAATACTTCAAAACACACACACACACACATGTTGCATTAGGATAAATGAGTGAAATTCGAAAATAAGTAAATTAGATGAATTTAAGTATGGTATATTTACTTACCTGTTTATTTTTTACTACAGAATACATGGAAACAGGAAATGCCACAGTTGCAGAGGAACCAATAGAGGAATGTCCAGTGACAAATCATCAGTCCTGTGTTTTGTCTCCAGAGATTTCTCCTACGCAAACAAATAAAAGTAAATATTCTCTAAGAATTATTCCATAATAGAGTATGTTGCAGAACTATTGAGAATTGTGAAATTTTACTTCTCATCTAGATGAACAAAGTTCTGTAGTATCAATGAAAGTCAAATATATTCTAACTAACTCGCTTACTTTGAATGTGTTAAAGCATGGAAATGTGATAATCAATATTGTAGCACTCAATTTCCCTTTCCACACGCTGCTTTACCTTAAACACCTCTTGCTGCCAATTGCCTTATTGGCGGGGGGAGGGCAGCTTGGTGAGGGTCCAGGTTTGGTTTTGGTGTAGTGCATCAATCTCTTCCTGTGCAGCATCCTTCCACAGATGAGCACCAGTGGCTGGTATCTGCTCAGTCTCTTCCAAGGTGGAAGGTTCTAGGGGTTGTACCTTGTGAGAGGACAGTCGTGGAGCTGGAATACCTTTGTTGGGTCTCATTGAGCGCCTGACAATCTGGCTGTGAAACCTCAGCCATCTCCTCTTCACTCTTTAATGCAGGGATCTTTTCATCAGTCTCCTCCCCTCTGGTTGCACTGCTTATTGGAATCTGCAGATGTGGACTACAGCCGAAACTCTTGTTACGTCAGTCTCCAATTGCATTTTTTCAGGATATGAACGTGGCAAACTCAGAAGTACTTCTGGGTTTCGCCATGCGCACATGCACAGAAGCACTCTGTGCATCTCGCTCATGTGCAGAAGCACTCTGTGCACCTCGTGCGAGCACAGAAGCGGCGCTCTAGTTGTGGACTTTTCAGGGTGCAAACGGCACCCCAAAATGGATGGAGTCCGTAACTAGAGGTACCATACCATACAGAGGTATTATACATCAATTCATGGCTTGTTTTTCTTCCTCTGACTCATCTGAAAAGTCTGCCACCGTTGCTTTCTTGTCAGCTTTCCTGTGTTCATCAAAATGAACCACATGTCTTGTGCTGACTTTCCCAGTACTCAAGTCTATTACTTTGTAACCTTTGCTTCCTGGGGCATAGCCAATCTTGATAGTCTCTTCTGCTCTGGAATCTAACTTGTGGTACAGAGACATGGACAGTGCTGCCAAACACACACATGTGTGTGACAGGTTAGGTACTCTTCAATGCAAAAGTTCAAAAGGTGTGTGTGTTGTTTCCTTGGTTGGCAGTTTGTTTTGGAGATATATTGCAGTGGCTACTGCATCTCCACACGTGCATTTGGGAAGACCAGAGTCATTCAGCATGCACCTAGCAATTTCCAGATCTAAACTTTCTAACACGCCTCTCTTGTTTTATGCCTTCCTCAGGAAAGTTTTCATGTGGTGCTAATTTCAAAGTTTTCAGTAAACTATTTAAAAAGTTTTAAAGGAAGCACCAAACATGTGGAGCACTTTGAAAAAAACAAAACTGAGTTCACCTGAGTGATGGGAATGTACTTTTGATCTGGAGGTTATACTTGTGCTGGCTATGGAGTGAAAGTGAGGGAAGCAGAGCTCACCCACAGCTCAAAAACCCATTTCTGAAACCCAGTGAAAATCAATAAGAAGTATGGTGCTTCTGAACATATGAAGTTTTCCAAAAGTGAAAATAACACAACCAATCCTGTCTGAATGAGGGAAAGCGAGTCCTATGTTTAAATCAGGACAGAGAACAAATTTTCATGGTGTTTTACTAAAGTCCTGACTTCTAGAAGAATGCCCAAGGAGAGTATTTAAATAAGAATTAACATCTGAGCAGTTTACATGTTTACAGAGAGAGGCCACCAAGTTGCCAACTCTTAATCTATTTCTAAGGTTAGACCATGCTTAACACAACATATTTTATATTATATTTAGACTTGTTTTGCTTGGCTTACTACAATGACAGATTGTTTTGCTTTCTGTAAAGGTGAAGCTGTGACTGGGGAGTTGTCAAAACTACTGGATGAAATCAAACTGTGCCAAGAAAAGGATTATTCTTTGGAAGAGCTTTGTCATACTGTATCTGACCACTATCTGGACAATGGTAGCAAAGTATCAGAAGAAGAACCAGTGATGAATGAAAGCCAATCCACATCCAATATAGTAAGTAAGACAGGATATGGCTTAGTATCTGGCTATTAATAAATTGTTTAGTTTACACACACACATATGCACACACTTCAAATCCCACCACACTTGGCATAATCAAAAATTGTATACTAAATAAAACTATCAATGGTAACATTTTAACAGGAATAGGAATGACTGACAATAAATTCTGTATATATGTTCCTCAGAAGGTAATGCAGGACTTATCGTAGTTGAAGGAAATTGTCTTGATTATGTGGTGAGAGGCAGGAGGTTTTACTACTAGATAGCGTAGATTATCCTAGAACTTCCCAGATTCCTCTGCCTCCTTCTCCCACAGTGCTAAGTCTCTGTTGGGGAATGAATGGATCAGCACATTTGGGCTAGCCCATGCATAGGCAAACGCGGCCCTCCAGATGCTTTGAGACTACAATTCCCATCATCCCTGACCACTGATCTTGTTAGCTAGGGATGATGGGAGTTGCATCCCAAAACATCTGGATACAGACTCCACTAACCCAGAAATAGTACCTTGGGTTAAAAACTTTGCTTCAGGATGAGAACAAAAACTCCAGGAATCAAGAATGATATTCTGAAGATATCCCAGAAAACAAACTAGATAACACTATTCCCCTCTACTGCAATACAGTGTTACCTCGGGTTAAGAACTTAATTTGTTCTGGAGGTCCGTTCTTAAGCTGAAACTGTTCTTAACCTGAGGTATCACTTTAGCTAATGGGGCCTCCCGCTGCCACCGCGCCACTGCCACACGATTTCTCATCATGAAGCAAAGTTATTAACCCGAGGCACTATTTCTGGGTTAGTGGAGTCTGTAACTTGAAGTGTCTGTAACCCGAGGTACCACTGTATCAGCACCATTTACTGTGGATTTTTTACTTCATAAGTTATAAGGTTAGTTTTCTTTTAAGAACATCTTTTAATTGGTTTCAGTTACCTTTCTGGCTGCCCTTATTCTTGTAAAAATATCTGTACCTACCCTTTGCTCCAGATTCTATGCTTTCTTCTTCCCATCTGCTAAAATCTAGCAGGGTGGCTCTGGTATTGGCATCAGCATCGTTGTAGCAGTCAAGAATGCAAAGATTCTTGCTGCATGAGCCAACTGCAGCATTCTAATGAAGCTAGACATCTCTTTTCCATCACTGTAGTGTTCTATGCTCCCCAAGGAACCTGCAGTGCAGTATGTCCTGTATTGTCCACTATGACAAACACATTTATTTTAATTTCTCTTGGCACATTCTACAACATTTTACAATTTTTAATTATTATTTTTTTAGATTTTTACCCCACCTTTCAGCCCACAAGGGAACATCTAAATTAAAACATGGAAATACAATAAATATAACTACAATGCAAACAATGCAACAAAAACAAGACTAAAAAGCATACAATCACTTCTAAAGACAGCAATGTGAGAATAAAACAGGTCCATTTCAAATGAGACAAAAACACAATGGGGGTTAAAAATGCAAGGCATATTAAAAGCTTGACAAAATAAGAAATTATTTGTTAACTCTCTTAAAACACAAAACAAAGGAAACAACTGAACCCAGCTGGATGGGTGAGGTATAAATAAATAAAATATTATAAAATATTATATCTTCTTCTTCTTCTTCTTCTTCTTCTTTCTTCTTCTTTATTATTATGAGGTAGTTACATAATTAGTGCCTTGTAATTGAAAAGGGCACTCTCTTGTGCCCCAGCCATTCATACCTTAGAACAGAGCTTTCCAAATTTTTCATGTCAGTGACACACTTTTTAGACAAACATCATTTTGTGACACAGTAATTCAGTTTTACAAGCAAGCCAGAGGTTAAGCCCCTTTCAAGCCCCAGGAGTTTAGAAAGCTCTGTCTTAGAAAGTGATGCAGAGTAAGGCCTCAAATGAAGAGCAGAGAGGGAAATTTATGGTTCAGTTTGAACATAACACTAAGCCACACTATGCTTTAGGAAGAACATACAAGCATGTAGGCTTCTGGAGAGGACATTGTGGTCACTTTGCTTCTCTTCATGCTGATGTGAGCTGAGCCATGGGCTCATGGGTTGTCTGCTGCAAATCAAGAACAAATGTTGGTTACACCTCATGGTTTGTCTGGAGTGAGACAAATCACAGGACTAGAGGAGGAACAAAGTGGCTGCAATCTCCTCTTTGAGCCTGAGCATTCGTGCTAAGTCATGATTTGACTTAGTGTTACATGCAAACTGGATCTTTGTAGATGGAAACAGTCCTTTAGGCAACTTGGTCCCAAGTTGATTAGGTACTCACCAGCACTTTGAATTTCATGTAAAAATAAACTGGAAGCCAGCACAGACGATAAACAATGCATGTTATACAGCACAGATCTTCCAGGAAGTGTAGACAACTCTGGCTGTTGCATTTTGTACCAGCTGAAGTTTCCCAATGTTATTAAAAGGTAGTTATAAAATCTAAGTGTGACCAGGGCGTGAGCATCAGTGACCAGATCTCCACGAACAAAGAGAAAATGCAGCAGACATTTGGCACATGCTTATTGTACTTGGTAAAACACTATGCATTCAGTGTTTGAAAATGTGGATCAAATGCAATAGAGCTATCTCATAACTAAACCTCTCTGTGTTTGTAAAGAATGTATCTTAATTAGAGAATTGGCCCAATGTGGTTTTTTCTTTTTCTGTTTTTCTTGCAACATAGAGGATCTAATAAATGCTATTACTACTGCTGCTGCTGCTACTACTACTGCTATTAAAATTTGTATACCACTCTTCATCCAAAGATCACAGGGTGGTTTGCAACATAAAAATACAAAATGAGAACAAAGTGCATAATAAAACAAAAACAAACCAAAAAACCTCCCACCTCCCCACAAATACATTTAAAAGGCCATAGAATGTTCATCAACCAATGGTCTGGTTATAGAGAAACATTTTCACCTGCCATCTAAAGATCTGTAATGAAGGCCATTCTTGTGTTGCCACCCTCTGGTTCTATTGCAGAGCAAGCACATAGTCTGGGTTGGTTCATATGGTAATAGATGGTCCTTGAGATATTGTGGGCTGTTTAAGTCTTTATAGGTCAAAACCAGCACTTTGAATTGGGCCTGGGAACTACCGTAATTGGCTGTCAGTGCAGTCAGGCCAAATCAAATCATCTTGTCTCAGTGAGCAACCTCAATGAATTAGCTCAACACTAGCTAGAGTTTCTGAAGTGTCTTCAGAGGTATCCCTATGTATATAGTGTGTTGCAATATTGTAACCTACGTAGAGGTTACAAGAGCATACACAGATGTTAGGCTATCCCTTCCAGGTATGGGTGCAGCTGGGCCACCAGGCAAAGCTGATGAAGGCACTCCGTGCCACTGAGGCCACTTGAGCCTCCAGCAACCAAAATCCTAGCAGGAATCAATAGATTCTAACCTGTTCCTTTGCGTATGGAAATTTTCCGTACATAATCAAGGAACACTGTCAGAAGGTCACATGATACTGAAATACTTGTAGCTATAACCTTTATTCAGAAATATTTAATTAGGGGACAGTCCTACTAAATGTGCATAAAACTAGTGATGTGGAAAGAATAAAGCCCATGCCTACCTTTACAGTTCTTCCAAGTTCTATTAATATACTATTGATTTATTATGTAGTATTGCTGTAGTATTTTATAGTTGTTCTTCAGGTTAATGCAGGGTAAAAATACTGATCCTTTGTGAGAATATTTTTTTCTATGTCTGTGGATGATCAGTTGCTCTCTTAACATCGAATTTTGAAACTATAAATTTTATTTTCATCTGTCTAACACACAAATCTAGTAAACCTGTTCTGTCTTTTTGCTCATAAATCATCCTCTCCAAAGTAGTTAGAGCTAAATTCAAAGCAATATTGTAAAATTTAATATTTATGAAAGAGCTTAATTGGTTTTCTTGCAACCAAAGTGGAGCCATTTCTAACTTATCATACAAACCTCATTTACTGGTTGAACCTGTAGACATTAAATGTGATCCAGTTTGAGATCTCACCAACTAATGCAAAAATGTTGTTAAGAAACAATAAAAGAAGGATGTTTAGAGAGAGAAAAACATTCTTAAAATTGCCCCAAACTCACATGGTGGGATTGTAATTATGGATTGTAATTAGCTAATACCTGTAACCCCTAAAGTGCCACCATTTTGAAACACGTGGGATAAATAATATGTCATCAACCTGGGTACTTTCAGTTCAAACTTCTCATAATATTTTCCCAATGGGGTTGCTGCAATCTTTGACCTCTTTCTGGTCCAGGATAGTTAAATTATACTGAAGCAGATTCCTAAAATCAATAAGGACTGATAACACCTGGAAGTAATAAACATGTACAAAAATAATAATATACAGTAGCATCAATAGAATGCTTAGCTAGTCAGATTATTTTTAAAGTATTTTCCAATAGGTGGCAGTCTGGTTCAATAATATAAAGAACAGCATCAGCCATTTTATAAAAGCCTTTAAAAATTATGTGTTTTTTGGTTAGATTGTTATAGAATTAACAGCAAAATATTTTTAAAATAAATATTTGATTTTTTAAAGAAGCAGCTATTCTGATAATACTAAACAAAATATAGACTACAATGTTGGAAAGAAAATTACATGTTGTCAAGTTTTAAGATGAACCAAATGAGTTTAACGAAAGCTAAAAAGATACAAACGAGCACAACTAGTATGGCACAGGAAGAATTTTACAGGGAAATAGATTACCGTATTTTTCGCTCTATAAGATGCACCAGACCATAAGACACACCTAGTTTTTGGAGGAGGAAAACAAGAAAAAAAATATTCTGAATCTCAGAAGCCAGAACACCAAGAGGGATCGCTGCGCAGTGAAAGCAGCAATCCCTCTTGCTGTTCTGGCTTCTGGGATAGCTGTGCAACCTGCATTCGCTCCATAAGATGCACACACATTTCCCCTTACTTTTTAGGAGGGAAAAAGTGAGTCTTATAGAGCAAAAAATACGGTATATGGCTTCTGTTGCAGTCTCTCTCAAGCCCTAAAAAACAAGTGGAACTCTGTTGTAGGTCCCTTTTCTTCCCTTTAATGGCAAAGTGGGTATATGTATTTGCATGTCTCAATAGTTCAGAAGTAGAGTGAGTTTTCTACAAACCTTTTTTAATTTGTCACATTTATATCCCAATTTCCTCTGTGGAGATAAGAGCACAAGCCCTACTGGATCAGGCCAAAGGTCCATCCAGTCCAGCATATTGTTATCCCAGTTGCCCACATGCATGCCCCTCAACATTTTTGGACGGTAATTTGGGGCACCCCCACCACCCGCTGACTCCGTCATTAGCCGTCTCCCTGCTGCTGCCCCTTCCTTGCCCATGCACTCGCACCCCTACTCCCTCTTACCTTTGTCCAGTCCTCCTCCTCCTCTGCAGCCTCTGGGGAACATCAGGAGAAGCAGCATGGTCTGGCATGGCCTGCCAAAAGGCTGCCCCAGTGCAGTGCAGACCCAAGCGGCCTGGGGAAGGCTGCCCAGCCTTCACCAAGTCTCACAGCACTTAAATGCTAGGATATTGGGTTATTTGTGATATGAAGGGAGAATATAAGCTACAAGGGGATTCCTGGGCTGCCATATGCAAACCAGTCTGGCTGACTCAGGGAAGAGCAGAGCTGTTAGCATTGCAATAGAGAGCAGTTGAGGGTCAACAACTCCTTGTCCCAGGTGTGACAAGAGACTGGAGAGTTGGAAGGTTGCCAGGGTAACTGGTCTGAGGGAGGGCAAGGGCCTCTGGGAAGAAGAAAGAGGAAGAAAGGCAGAGATCCATCTTGGTGAGGGTAAAGAAAGGACTGCTTGCCCTGCTGTGGACTATGCTGTAAGATCTGGGCCCCCTGCATGCAGATGGAAGGTGTAAATAGGCGGATAAACCCTATTTCTTAAAGCACGACAGCCTCTATTGTCTCTTCTTTTCTCAAAAGGGACACAGACCCCTGCGTGGGCACCTGAGATCCCATACACTCTTGCCAAAGCTTGGCAGAGAGAATATTTAATAATGAAGGGGAAATACAAGCTGCAGAGGAATACCTGGGTTAGCCTAGGCCAGGGTTTCCCAAACCTGGGTCTCCAGCTGCTTTTTGGACTACAATCCCCATCATTCCTGACCACTGGTCCTGCTAGCTAGGGATGATGGGAATTGTAGTCCAACAACGGCTGGAGACCCAAGTTTGGGAAACCCTGGCCTAGGCAAACCAGCTGTCTAGCAAAGTGCAGAGACATTAAGAAACAATGGAGTTTCATTAAGGCCATTGTGAATGTAAAAGAATTATCCCTGCCCCTCTGTTCTGGCAGTGGACAGAGACAGGAGAAATAGAGCTGGGTGTAATCAGCTTGCTGCTGACAATATATTCCAAACCTCCAAAAAAAACCCACCCAGGAGTTTCAGGTAGATGTCAAACAATGTAGGGGATAAGACTGAGCCCTGCAGAACCCCACATTGAAGGTTCCACAGGGCTGAAAAGCATTCCCCAAGCAACACCCTTGGGGAATGACCATTCAAGTAGGACTGGAACCAACATAAAGTGGTGCCACCTACCCCTAGCTCAAACAGTCGCTCCAGAAGGACACTATAGTCAATGGTATCGAAAGCCATTGAGAGGTCAAGAAGAATTAACAGGGACATGTTTCACTTGTCTCTCTCTCCACAGAGGTCATCATACAGGGCGACCAAAGCAGTTTCTGTGCCAGAACTGGGCCTAAACCCCAATTGAAATGGATCCAGAAAATCAGTTTCTTCCAAAAGCGCTGGATCTGGTCTGCGACCACTCGCTCCAAAACCTTGCTCAGGAAAGGGAGATTAGCAACTCACTGGTAGTTAGTTAGGTTTTCTGAATCCGGGAAAAGTCATATACAAACTGTTAATATACATAAATACAATACCTTAAGGTGCCCTTGCAAATATTTTAAAGCAGCTGTTGTACTGTATGAGTATTATTGTACTATTAATATCCTTTATTCCAGTAAGAGAAACAAGTGGATTAGAAAAGGACCAGTTGAGGGCAATGAAAATGATTATAGCCCATGTAGAGCTTATAAATGACAAAAGAGATTTTAAAAGCCAAAGATTATTCACTTTTGAAAGGGAAAGATTAAGAAGAGATATGATAGAGGTGGATAATGTAATGAATCTAACATTGCTGCCAAAACAAATTGGTCACTTCTGTTCCTTCTGTTGTATAATACCAGGGGTGCTGAATGAATTTATATGGCTACAGATGTAAAGTGCACAGAAGGAAAGCAATTCTTTCATTCATGTTATTCATCAAGCAGAAATTTTGCTTCAGTTTAATGTCATTGAATCAACAGGAAAAACTTGATCTTTATTGTTTTTCTGTGCATTGCTCCAATTCAGCAGTAAATAGTGTGTTTTCACAGGAAAACACCAGTGGGGGGGGGAGCACTCAGACAAGGACCTTTAAAGCACAGACCTGTGCCTAGAAACA